GGTTTAGGGGAGATGGTGTCATGCTATCGATTCAACGTACAGGGCATGCTAGTCAAGGCCTTAGACCCATCTCCTCAGTCCATACCCAGAGGCCCCATTATATATAGTTCCTTTTGTGGATTCTATTTGGGATCCTATAAGGTAACCCCCCAAAAGAAACTACCATGGAGCCTATGGGTAAACATCGAATCCTAATTCTTGAACCCTAAAGCCTATAAACCTGCTCCCGGCCGCTGTATCGGCCTTCAGCAGACCAAAGGTGTCCGAAACAAGTTTCAGGAAAGAGTCAACTGCATGCAGCGGTTCGTAGAATTTGGGGTCTGGGGGTTTCAAAGGGGTGTTACGATGCGTGTTGTTGGTTGTGCTGTTTTTTTGGTCTGGGTTTAGGAACTGAGGGTTGGGCTATGCTGCAGCTGCACATTGACGCTTCCAATGCTCATCCTAAACCCTAAACCCTAAACCCTAAAAACCCTAAAACCCTAAACCCTAAACCCTAAACCCCAACATCGTGCTGTGCAGTTCTGACGGATAGCGGACTCAGGCGCTGTGAGGATTTGGAGATTAACGGTTTAGGGTTTATAGGGTTTAGGGTTTAGGGTTGAGGGTTTAGAGATTGTGGTTATGATACAGAGCTCCAGCATGCTCGTCCATATTGCCATCATAGACCTAAAGAACCCAAAGCCCAGTTTTTTGGTGGGTTCTTATTATAAACCCCTAATATCGGATTTATAGGGACCCTACAGAAAAGTAGGTTTTGGGTTCTTAACGTCAAGGCTGAAAGGCAAGGGTTCTCAAGATCTTAGCTTTCGGATCGTTTCCAGCCTCCGCCCGGAAGGGTTTAGGGATTAGGGTTTAAGGTTTAGGGTCGTTTACAGCCTTCGCCCGGAAACACAGCGTTTCCCACACACACACACACACACACAACCCTCAACCTGCCACGAAAGCGCTCGGTAGGACTTGTAGGGTTGTTGATTTTATATGGGGGCCTGAATAATTCCCAATACTGTTTTGGGGTTCCTTATTATAACTGTAGTATAATGTACCCCAAAGCCCCATTCCAATTATTAAGGCCCCTATATTATAGGTCTTGGAAGACTTTTTCTTTGGAGGGCTACTTCTTAGAGGGTGTAGAAGTTTGCAAGGGTGAAGGGAGTGAAGGAAGCTCAGAAAGCCAAAGCTTTCACCCCGAATCCCTAGCGTAGTATTGGGCAGCTCCGTAAAAAGGGACCCTTCTTAACCCTACTT